AACTCGAGTATGCCAATCCCGACGCCGAGATATTGCCACGGCCCTGTAATTTATCGATTTTCTCGCGGCCCTTTAATTCATCGATTTTCTCGCTATGCTAAAGTTCGATGGTTTGGTGAACACGTGTGCTGCGGCACGCGCCGCGGCTCCTTCGACTCGAATTCCCGGAAGACAACTCGTAATGCAATGACATAACTTTTTTTAATTTTAACATTTTAACACTGATCTTTTTTTTAAACATATTGCTGATAGTTTTCTGATTACAATGAGACCAAACACGATATAGTTTAGACAGATATTTCTGTCTACGAAATCAAAGACAATAGACGTTGCACGTGATTTACTGCCAAGATGCGCGTGGTGTGCGGTAGAAAAGAGTTTAGGCAAAGTTGTCGACTTTACCGATGCCGTAACAAATAATGTAAAAAAAAATTAATTTGTAAATAATTCATATTCAAATTTGCTAAATGTCGTGTTCTTTCTCGATGTTCGACATCTTAAAAATTCCAGGGTCGATGGAAAATGTACAGAAAACAGTTCCTTTACAGCCTCCACGCGTAGGCTCGTCCTCCAAATGATGTCGCTTCTCCCGTCCTAGCAAATTTCAAACATGGAACTCTTCGTTCTCGGCCGTCTTCGTTTCCTTCTGTCTCCCATCCGTGTAAAGCTTCCTATTCCCGGTGTCTAACGTAGGCTCGAATAGCGTAACTTTGGTGATATTTTCTTTCGAAAAACATACGTACATACCTTCTTTGACCTTGCCTTTAATATTTCATATGTTAAAAATCGGTTTTTGTAATGCTTTTTTCGCAAAGAAAATAAGTTACTTATCACGTATAACGAATAAGAATGGTCTAAAGCACGTCGTGTTTGGTATCATTTTAATTGGAAAAATGTGACCGATATATTAAAAAAAATTTCATGTATAAAAAAATAGAAATAAAAAAGTTATGTCATCGTTTTTATCCTATCGTTACAATGTTGTTCACCGGCAGTCTCCGATGCTGACCGCTGCCTTGCATACATAGTATACAACATAGTTTCGCTCGACTCGAGTTTCGTTCTATCTCCCTCCCTTTCACGAGGTGTCGGCAACAATAAAGACGAGCCGCGAGACTCGAAGAAATAAATTCCCGCGTACTACTCTCGACACTTTAGAATTCGGTCCCGGCGACAGATACGGAGACATTACTGTACACGTGCAGGGTGTCCTGAAAGTAACTCGCGATCGGGAGAATAGGGATCCCGGAGATCGTTTCAAGCAAATTTTTTCTTTGGCGGAAATGCAATCCACGGTCGACCAGTGGGAGGACCGCAGTAACCAGTGGAAGGGAAGCTCGGCTGGCGCGAGGCGGCCGAGAGCCAATGAGCGGACGAAGCCCCGTTCCGTTGATTGGCTCGGCCGCCTCGCGCCAGCAGAGGCCTCGCCTCTCATTGGTCACCGTTTTTCGTTAATAACTCGTAAACGAAGCCGCGGATCGCATTTTCGCTAAGGAACAAGTTACTTCGAATGACCTCAGGAATTCCTCGTTTCCCGGAAGTAACATAATTTTGGGACACCTCGTATATTACATACATAGAAAGTAAGAGAGTATTATGTACTCTATGTATTACATACATAGAAACTGGTCTCTGGGTCCGAGCAGCGAGCAATCGTCTTGCGAAAATCTTTATCGACGAGGCGTCGCGACGAACCCGGCATCGAAGTAGACGATTCGCGATTTTCATTGTACTTTTAACTACGTTGATCGAGCAACCGTATCGACGAGACCGGTTTTTATATGTACATACATGCGATTAAGACGGGAAAGAGAACGAAGGAATGCGACGAAATAATATTAAGAACAGATGGATTACTAGAATAAGCGATGATCGAGCGTGCACTCGTGTCCGTATTCTCAGTGTCGATTATTGCGTGTCGCGTCGATATCACCGAAAGAAAGGTAGATAGATAGATAGATAGAGAGAGAGAGAGAGAGAGAGAGAGAGAGAGAGAGAGAGAGAGAGAGAGAAAACCAAGGCGGACGAACTGCGACGGAGAACTTTTTCTGTACCGAAAGAACGCGAGAAGAAGAGAACGATCGTTTCAAGCGTCGTCGTCGTCGACGTCGAATCGTTTTCCTTCAATTTTCCGTCGCGATTCGTCGAGTTGCGCGAACGATGGTCGAACACTCGCTCCAGAGAATGCAGCGAGTTGATGAAATCGCTGAGCCTTTTGCGGATTATTTTACGAGATATCGAAAGAATATTCTGCATTGTTTCTTTTTTTTTGGAACATACATATGTATATATGTATATTTTGTTCGAACCAAAATCTCGAAAATTCTTGGAGTTTGCAAATCTTCGAAACCATTCTGCATAGCTAAAACGAAAAAATAAGGTGGCATGTTCGAAGATACGTGTACAGCAAAAATAGCAGGCGGTAACTGCCCCTTAAGTCTTCGAAGTCAGAGAAAATTCTGGACAATTATAGGGTTATCCGAATCGCGAGTGTCGCATCTTTAGATTGAAATAAAACACAAACATTTGAGATAATTCAGGTTTCTTTATTTTAATATAAAGTCCATTCCGTAATATTAATCGTTCGACAAACGACCGTCCCGAATTTTCTTTCGCAAGCCCGATTCGTTTCACCCAATTTTCCATTACATTATTACGTAATCAGAATTCTATTTCATTATCGACGGCCATATAACATTGTTTTCCAGCTCGTCGATCGTTCGTGATTTATCGCGCCATAACCTTTATTTCTTAAAACATCCCGTAGGAAAGAAAATCCGCGAGATTCAACGAAAACAAGCTCGAACGGAACCCGAATGTTTCTAATAATTTTCAACAATTTTCTACGCGTCGCTGCGCAGCGTAGCATTCGGCGATGATTTGTCCACGTTTAGCAGTGCTATCCGTTGAAAGATGCGACCCTTAATTTGGATAACCTTATAGCATAAAGTTCCGTTCGGTGTCGTTTCATTTTTTCGACGTACCGTATTCGAGCTATCGGTCGGAAACTCCTGTCCGAATTCTGCTTTAGAACGATAAGAAATCGCCCTGAGAACAGTTTCCCTAGCTTGCTGCATCTTTTCCAACGATCGCGAAGGAAGAAACGGGGGAGCAAAGCGATCGGAAACTGCGCGTGATCGCGTGCGAGCGCCATCGAGCGGCGGTACAGTCGAGAAACTCAAGTCGCGCACGCGTTTGCTCGCGTAGTTCGTTCTCTAGGGCTTTTGTCCGCATCCCCGAATACGATATTACTTGGTCCGTTGATCGTCGCGCGAAAAACCACCTCTCGCTATCAGCCAGCCTCGAGCTTCTTGTACCAGATATTGACGGTTTTCCTTTCTTTGTAGGTTGATGAAAAGCACGAGCGGCTGACCGTCGACTCGATCGACGCGCCCCATAGCTAACCGTGGATCTCGATCGCACCCGTAAGTGATCTACTTTCGCCTCCTTTTTCGTTACCGAGAGAGTTTTCACGGAGCATCTGTCTGCACGAGGGAAGCTTGGCGTCCGATCGAATTCCGGGACTTTCGTTTTCTTTCTCGCGAGGAGTATCGTTCGCGATCGGAAAAAGTTTTGTCTGCTTCGGGGGTGCGCGGTGTACTCTGCGTAACAAATTAAGGTACACCGAACGGAGAGACTCGTTCCTGGGACTCGGAAGGTAGAAATTTCCGATCGGCAAAATTTCATGGAAACGCGACGACTCGAATCGCAATTCCGAGAAGATTGCGGAAAATGTGGTATCGAATCAAACGTTTGAACTTGATCAAAGAATCGATCGTGGCTCCGAAGACACGACAACTGGACTGCGGATTCTCGGATGCATTTGTGACAGAAATTCATTGTCGAAGAATCGAACTATGAAAAAAAGAAAAAAAAACGTTTACGTGTCTCTAGCTTTCATTTCCCATGATCGCTTGGAACATTCTTATTTCGCACAACGATCCACAGTCCGATGCTGTTTCATGTCCTCTCGTTCGGCGCGAGTTCTGCGCGGCGTCGAACGAAGGGCGTCGCCTTGGACACAGCTGAAAGCGGGTTAGCGATCGAATCGTCGATCGACCGGGACGAGTCCGATCGCCGACGACGGTGCGCTTCTTCCTGTTGCGTCCCCTTGGATCGATCGGCACAAATCAAATTTAAGCTTGCATTGTTTCGACATTCTCGACGCGAGCTCGTTCAATTCCTGACTGAAGTGCAATTGTACGATTTCGCCGAGCGTCGTTGTACGTTTCGCTTCTTTGTTCTTGGTGTATGCATTTGCTGTCGCGTGTGCGTGTGCGTGTGCGAGAGAGAGAGAAAGAGAGGGGGGGCGCGTGCGTAGCCGTGTGTGAACGCGCCAACCAATAGTCGATCGCGAGGCATCGAGCCGCGTGTACGCCGAACTTGTTTTCCCCCCTTTTCGTTTCACGTTTCGTTCGTACTCGACAATTTCGATCCGCGCGTTGACTCGAGATCGATCGGAAAAGTTCGGCGCGAGAAACCAGATCGGCGATCCTATCGACGGGAAGATCGATGCAGCTAATCTGTACGGCCGGTTCATCGATTCTCGCTCTTGCGCGCTGTACGAGGAAGCGAATTATCTCGAACGAACAGCAAGCCGGAAGTTGAATGGAATTCGACGCACTTTCGGTTCGTCGTAACTGAAATTTGCGACGAAGAAAGGGGAAGGCTCGCTTTCGGCACAAATTGCGACCGAGCAGCGCGCTTTCATCACGATGACAAAGTTACTTGAACGAAGCAGGCCGTTTTCGATTTTAAGGTTAAGAGCCGGCAACGTCCGCGCGACGTTGGGCAGAGTAAATGATCGAGTACGCTGATCGTACGCGGACAAACAACTGGTTGTGACAAATAATTCGTAAGGCTCCCGATCGAGCGTCGTCGGCTCGAATAAATGAGGATCGTGCGTCGAGCATGAAATATCGCGAGTCAGCCGTGAGATCCGATCGGATCGATTATATCAAGGAATGGGAAATGAGTGGAGGACAAAAGAGAAAATTGTCTTCTGCGAAAGCGGTCTGATTTCATGTTTTTCTCCGCCACTTTTTACGTTCATCGTATATAGGGGGTAAAATAATACCGATTTAGGAGCCGAAAAAAGAAAAAGACGAACATTTGTTTTAGATCGGCAACGGCGACGGCCGGGGAAGCCGTGGAAGCCGGGGTCGCGGCAAAATATTTTCGGAAAACACAAGTTTCTTCTTCGAAAGGACACACCGAGCGTTCCGCGGCGTTCTCCGCCGTCCGCGCGCCGAGTTCTAGTTGAATAATAAAAGAAACAAAAAAAAACAAGAAGAAACGAAGCATTTTTTAAATTAAACGGGATAAACGAACGACTGTGTCTTTTATCAACCCGTCACTCTCCGAACGTCCGTTTTCCTTCTTCCACCAACGAAACGCAAATTCGACTAGAAACAAATTAGAGTGTTCGCACGCGTTCGGTGCCACTTTGCAGTAAGTTGAGAACTCCGGTAAAAATGTTGGAAAAATGTTGTACAAATATTTATGCATAATTCGTTGATCCATAGATATTATACGCTGTTCAGCCTTCGTTCGTTGATTCGTATAATGATATTTAAGGCGAGATTCGGTCGGTATATTGTAAAGGAGATTCGTCGTGCAGCGACGGATGTGATGTCTACGTCGCCAAAAATCCACCGTCGACCGGTAACGCGATACCGTTGATCATGGAGCTTCGGTCGCTCAAGAGGAAGACGATCGCGTCCACGACCTCGTCCACTTCTGCAAGCACGGTAATATGTACGTAGAACAATGAGAATCGTCTACGGAATTGGTGTTCGCGAAATCACTGTGTATATAGAATTTTACCAGCAAATCGACCCAACGGTATCTTGTCCAACATGGTCCGCGCCTTTTCTGGATCGCTCCAGCCGAGTTTCCCCATGTCGGTCATGACCACCGTAGGGTTCACGGAGTTCACGCGAATATCGTGCGGGCCAAACTCGAGCGCCATCGTCCTGAAAGAGGTACATTTCTCTCCGATTAAACGTGAACTGCAGGGTGTCCGAAAAATGTAACTTTTTCCTTAGCGAAAATATTCTACGAGGCTTCGTTTACGAGTTATCAACGAAAAACGGTGACCAATGAGAGGCGAGCACTCGGCTGGCGCGAGACGGCCGAGCCAATTGGCGGAACTGGGCTTCGCGCGCTCGTTGGCTGGGCCGCCTTACGCCAGCCGAGCACGCCTCTTATTGGGAGACGCTGCGAGATAATTTTGGGACACCGTGTATGTGTATTCTCGACGCTTCAGCTATCGAAAGTCGTAAAGAGTAGGCCTTCCAAGATATTTCGATAGAATGGTACAATAAAATCAACGTTTCAGATAAGACGAGTCAAAGGAGCACGTTCCCATACTTGGTCAGCATATCCACCGCTCCCTTAGTGGCGCAATAGATGGAGTGATTCGCCAACGCGGCTTGGCTAGCCTGCGAAGACATGTTCACGATACTGCCGGCGACCTTCCTCCTGATCATATCGGCAGCGACCACCTGAGTAACGTTCACGATCGACTTCACGTTCGCGCCGAAGCTCAAGTCGAAGTCTTGCTCCGTGACCTCCATGAACGATTGAAGGACAGCGACAGCGGCATTGTTTACCAGCAGATCGATGGGTAGAACCTTTTGAATCGCTCTCCTGGACGCTTCCCAATCGAGGAGGTTCACGCAAATGGTTTGGATGCTGGGATCCTGGGTGCGCAGCTCGTCCAGGTTTCCCTGGGTCTTGGATAAGGCGATCACCTGGCCCTTGAACTTGGCCAGACGAAGCGCCAGATCTCTCCCGATACCTACGATTCATTGGCACGTTAATCAGGGAGGATCGATTCAATTGTCTTTTAATAAATGTATCTACACTTTTAATAAAGTGTAGAAGGTAAGATTCGTTTAGAAAAATAAAAAAAAGTTGTCGACAGGACGCGTGCTGATCCCAGACGGTCGATCGTTTAAATACTAATCGCGTGGTTCTTTGCAATGTAATACTATCGTTGACTATCGAGATAATCTTAATTACTAGATGCAAAGAACTTCGTAAAATATTCTACGATATAACAAAGTTTCCTAATGTACTCGATGAAAGTACATCCGCTTAACAAGTTTATAAATTCTGAATCTATAATTTGCATATTGTCCAGAGGTAAACATTATTAACGACATCTCGTTTACGTAATCGTCGAGGAAAGGTTTCATCATTAATGCGATAAATTAAACCGGATTACGACCGATTACCAATATCTCTGCCATTTGTGAAACATTCCGTTTTACATAATCAAATTTTAATCATCGAGTTATATGTCGAAGAATAATCAGGACTGATCGGTTGTATTTCAATTCTTACCCAATCAACGATAACCTTTTTACCGAGCTATGCGGAACTGAATCGACATTTGCAGAATAAAGTAAATACAAAATACACGATGTAAGTAAAATAAGGTGAACCAAGGTACAGTAAAACTATCGTGTTCGTATATACAATTTATTTTGTAGCGTACCTTTACCGGCCCCTGTTACGAGGATACGTTTTCCTTCAAAGTTGATGTTCATCGCTGACGTATGCGTTGCCGACTGATACGAATTATTGGCCGCTCAAATATATATACATATATACCGTCTGACCCTCCAATCACCGTCAACGATGTATCGTATATATGTAGGTACATACATTGATATCAGCTTCGTTGGTGCCGACGCGTTCTATGACCCATAATAAATGGCAAATCCGCTACAATCAAAGTCGTTTAATTTGTCGACGTTTCATTGCTAGCACGGTAGCAACCATAACCTATAAATTGTCTTCGTTTAATTAAGGTGTACAATGTGTACAGGAACAGCGGTTCTTTCTTTATTCGGTAATTGAAAACGTAACCATACATGTTATGCAAACAGAGGATCGACTCGTTAGCGTTACTTAAAACATATTCATTAAGTTAGCGAAGCGAAAGAATTCGTATGCACCTGCTTCGAAGCTACATATGTAGGCATATTCACTTTAATATTCCACTCGTTCCAATTTGAAAGAAACGAAAATAATCTTGTTGATTTCTGTGAGGCGCTTAATTTCTTATGATTAAGATTCTTCTTTTCCTCCGATTTCTTCTGTGTCTCGTGTCATGTTTTTCTCTAATAGCAAAAGCTATTTAAAATAATTCTGGTTTATTAGAAAAGTAAACAGGTAAACGCTTTCATGATTATGTCTTGATAAAATTCTTTGAAACTTTCCCGCCACAAGTTTTGAAACTTAATGATAGAAAGAGAAAGGAAATATCGATCGTATATCGATGATACAATGAATCGTCGCATCGTCAGCGAACTATGAAGACGTCTCAGTCATGTTCGTGTTTACATAAAAATTTGACGATTGCATTGTTGGTCTCTCTTTGTTAGAATTTCAATAATTAAAGAGAGTAACTGTCAACGTATACTATAAAAGTAGTAACCATAGTAAATGTTGTGATTGTTGAATATTGTTTGAAGTTTAACAAGACCTAACCTCGGTATATGAGCGTTTTACATAAAAATAATTGCGTCGAAGCGATATTAGTGGTTCGATCTGTACGAATTTAAGACGAAAATTGTCTTCCTTTATTCGATGATTTATTCGCATGGTTGAAAACGATAACAAAAGTATTTGGTACACAAATATTTTGGAGTAAGTTATCGATCACCTGTGGAAGTGGTAACACAGCAAATTGTTTTTGTCATGAACTGCATAAACTTTTACAATTTAGAACATTGTGTCTAACGAACTATTGTAAAATTCAGACAGCAATATCGGTAGTAAAGACCAGGCTTGGTATTCGCGTTACTACCAAAGTAATGAACAGAATGGCGTTCAAAGTGTTCATGGCAACTGGCAGCACGTTTCATCGTGTCTTAATTTTCATGCTTAAGCTTGGTTGGCAATCACGTTTTCGGTTACCTATGCTTTTAGTCATGTTGTTCGTGGCCACGGACTGTAGGATTAATCTGGAAGTCGGATTTGAAACTACAGAACAACATAATCATTTGTGATTAAGGATGTAAACAAGTTAACGACTAGATCGTGTAACTGAAAATGTTAATTTCGTATAGAAAACGTAAACTGTTATTTATTTTTCAATTTATGTAAGATAACGTAGTTTAAGGATGAAAGGGTATCGTTAAAACTATGATTAACTTCTGTTGTAACGTTTAAATGTTATAAACTGATCTCTGCATTGGAATTGCATAGGATAAGACCATGTAAGAGTAAGCGTTAGCGTGAAACGAATATGTATACTCTTAAGTGTTTCTCATTTTAAACACAAACATTTTTACATGTTATTACTC